AAAAAAAAAAAGGTAGACTGGAGGTTTCAGTTAAGCATCAGTTCTCTTTCTTCTCTAGACATTTGCACATACTGTTTCCTCTACCTGGGACACTACCTGGCTAAGTCCAATTTATACTCCCCTCGTGCCTCAGCCAAGACATCACTGACTTCAGGAGTTTTCCATGACCACTCCCTTCTGGCCTCCAGCCTTCCCTGTCACCACCCAGCGCACTGCCACATGATCACCTGGGTATGGATGTCTTTCCTCGCCCCATGGTCAACAGAGAGCTCAGTGAGGGCAGGGGACAACCTGGCTTGTTCAAATCTGTCTGCCCAGAGTGTAGCACAAAGTTGGTGTTAGGGCAAAAGGCGTCATGAAGAAGTGATGGGGGTGAAGAAGAGAAGAAAGAAAGGCAGGAGGAGAAGAGGGAAGGAAAGCCACATCCCCGGGGTCAAATGCGACCCCTCCGGAGGCTTCCCCCAACGCCCCTATCAGATTGAAAAGAATCTCCTTCATTTACGAGAGGGCCTCATCTGTCTTGCTCACCCTGTATTCCCAGCCCCTGCTGCACAGTAGGTGGTACACAGTAGGTGCCCAATACATACCGGCTGAACTAATAATCCTGGACAGTGAGAAAGGAGGAGGAACTCAGTCCTGAGAGATTCTGATTCAAAGGGCTCTGGGTAGGGTCTGGGGAACTGGAAGTTTTTAAACGCTCCCCGGGGTGACTTTAAAGTGCAGACAGAGTTGAGAATCACCATGTGAAGCTTGTAGGGTTTATCTCTGAATGCAGAATCCCCAGTGACTGTCAGAGCCCCCACCCTGAATCTTAGGAACGTTCCCGCCCCAGGCCCTGCAGAACGACCGAGGGACAGAGGTGAGGCTAGGGGTGGGGCACCGGGCAGGGGCGGCTCTGCTCACCTGGCGGGGACGGGGACGAGGGCGTCCGGCTGGGGCTGGCGCTGGCGGGAGCGTCCAGGCGAGAGTGAGTCTTGGCGCCATCTAGTGCCCGCTGGAGGCTCTGCAGCTGTAACGTGCTGAGCTGCCGGCGCTGGGCGGGGGTCACTGCCGCAGCGTTCTCGGGACCCAGGGACGCGATCTGCTCTGCGGACAGCTCCTGCAGGAGAGAATGGGGGCCAGGGGACAGCGCCCTCAGTGCGGGGGGGGTGGGGGAAGAGGGAGGCCCAGATCTCCCAAACCTCGGTCATGGCCCAGGGTTCCCACAACTTTGCCATACCCATATACTATTTGTGCTCCTCTTTAAGACGTTTCCTTAAAATCGGATCACTCTTTCACTACTGAAATAGATGCATTTAAAAATAGAACATTTTAAATGTAAATTTCTATTTTAAACGGGAAACCAGCGAAACCAGCAGGACTTGCCATAAGCAAGCACTAAATAGAAGCCAAGAGAAATAAAACAACTTTGTTGAATTCTAGCTAGATGTGTTGGCCAACACCACCTGAACCCCTGGCCTCTTAAAAAGAGAGAGAGAGGGAGAGAGACAGGAAGGGAATTTTTAAAATATTATAGCGGTTTTAAAGACATTCTACCTCCAAATTGAGACTTCCTGCTTAAAGTAATCAGAAGTATTAAAGGATTGAAAAGGGAGTCATGATTTTCTTACTGCATGACTTAAGGCTGTTTAATGCAATGCAAGGTACCTTCGCCACACTTCAAGTCCTCCACCTAAGGAAACACTGATGAGGAGGAGAAAGCACAGGCCTGAACGCCAAAGACCTGCATCTGAGCCCCAGCTCTGCCACGTACTAGCTGTGTGACCTCAGACAAGTCACACAGCCTCTCTGGGCTTTTGCATTCACTGTGGGATGTCTCGGAGAACTCATCTCCTATGCAGATTGATTCCTGCTCTGAACGCCACGTGATGAGCCCTGTTAGGGCTCGATGGAAGGAAACTGCAGTAATGTGTTGGTGATGTCTGCCGTGGACTACAGAAGTGGGGAACTGCCAGGCATACTATGTCTTTGAGGACTCTGAAAAAAATATTTTCTGAACACTCCCAGATCAAAGGACTTGGTGACTAGTTCCAGTGGGACTGAAATCAGATGGGATGGCAGGATTCCGCTTTTACAGAGGAACCTCTAAAGTCATCCTGTTTATTTTCTAAAGGCCCCAAGGAATCTGGGAGGGCCGCTTGTAGCCCCTCATCCCTTCCTCTTCTCTCAGTCACCCTCTTCTCCTCTCCTGTCCATGGACATGCTTCCCTGGAATCATATNCACAGCCTCTCTGGGCTTTTGCATTCACTGTGGGATGTCTCGGAGAACTCATCTCCTATGCGGACTGATTCCTGCTCTGAACGCCACGTGATGAGCCCTGTTAGGGCTCGATGGAAGGAGACTGCAGTAATGTGTTGGTGATGTCTGCCGTGGACTACAGAAGTGGGGAACTGCCAGGCACACTATGTCTTTGAGGACTCTGAAAAAAATATTTTCTGAACACTCCCAGATCAAAGGACTTGGTGACTAGTTCCAGTGGGACTGAAATCAGATGGGATGGCAGGATTCCACTTTTACAGAGGAACCTCTAAAGTCATCCTGTTTATTTTCTAAAGGCCCCAAGGAATCTAGGAGGGCTGCTTGTAGCCCCTCATTCCTTCTTCTTCTCTCAGTCACCCTCTTCTCCTCTCCTGTCCATGGACATGCTTCCCTGGAATCATATTCCTCTGCTTAGAGCCCTTCCCTGCACCCCCCTGCAGGACATAACTCAAGTTCCTGAATGTGGTGATGGCACTTTCAAGATCTGGGTCCTGCTCACCTCTCCAGCCTCGCCCCCAGCACTTTTCACTCCAGGAGAATGAGCATCAATATTTACACCCCCAGGAGGGTGTATGCATCTTCTGCCTGGAACACTGATCCTCCCTCGCCACCAAGATAACCTGTCCTCCAAGATTCAGCATCACCTCGTACCCTCCCGCCACACAAACACACACACACACACACACACACAGAGTTGATGCTCTCTGGCTTACATCTACCATGAACACAGAGTCTGTATTATAAAAATTATCTGTTTTCCAAATGTTTCTAACTCGTGACCCACAGGCCAGATTGAATCTCTAGGCCTACCACAGTGTGTTTTCAAAAATAAACTCAAATTGGCTGCCAACATTTAATTATCAGGAGATTTTACATGAAAATGAAGATTTCTGGCTTCTAAAGAAAAAAAGGGGGGGGGAGGATCCGGGAATACTGGGCCCACATGGTCACACTGCATTAATGTGCTAGAGACAAGGAGCCAAGAAGCATCCTCCCCATTTACAGAGGGCTCTGCAGTTCACCTCGGTCCCTGCCCGGCCCGCTGCACTCCCTTCTGTTACCTTCCAGGCCCCTGGAGGCACTGTGTTATAACCTTTCACCAGAGCATCCCCAGAGCCACCTAGCCTGGAGCCCACCACAATGCAGCTGGTCGCTAGGAATGTCTGGAATAGACAAATACCTAAACGAAGCAGCAGCCACAACTGCACTCCAAACAAGACTAAGAGAAAGTGCTTAGCAAAACGCCAGCATCCACGCAGAGCGCCCCAGAGGGGCAGCAGGTATTTTTGCTCAATGGCCTTGAGAAGAGCTATTTCCTCTAAACCACTATGCGCCTGCGCTGTGCTGGGAACTGTCCGGGGTGCTGACGCGGTTCAAGGGCGGCTGTCTCTCTTGAACCAGAGATGTGGCATCATGGGAGCTTGCCTAGGCTGGTTTGTGTGCCTTCTCCAGATGTGGCGGACAGAACGTGTCCCTACGTCACCCAGCAAGCAAGAACACCAGGGTCACTCCCTCCTCATCAGAGCAGACTGTTCCCACCAAACACTCTCTTGTTCTTGCCCACGGACAGAAAGCAGGGACCTCTCCCTAGATACACTGTTTCCCTTCCTTCAATTGATCCAATTCCACCCTCTCAATTTTTTCCACAGCAATTTATCACCTGACCTTTTGTGGTTTTCTTAATACTACTCTTCTTTAAATCAACTAAAATTTTTTTACTTAAATTTATTTTAAAAGGAAATGTTATACAGGTCCACAATCCCTTATCTGCAGTTCAGAAGTCCATAAAAGTCTGAAAACTGAAAGCTTTTTCCACAGTTTAAAACAAAGTTATTTGCCAGCCAAACATGACCCAAACTCATGTGAGGCTATTCATTTATAGTCTCTATTTATTCCAATTAGTGTGACTTGTCACATATTTCTTCACAGAAATATTAATGAGTTTGTGTACCAGGTGTTTCCCCAGACACTGCCGGGGATGTTAAGTTATGTACAGTTATATGAACAGGGTGATCTTTTAAAATATCTGAAAAATTCTGAATTCTGAGATAGATCTGTCCCCAGGGGTTTTACATAAGGGTTTATGAACCTGTCACGACATAAATAGAAAATCAGTGCGCCACCAAGATACCCTGTCCTCCAAGATTCAGCATCCCCTCGTCCCCTCCCGCCACACAAACACACACACACACACACACACACACACACACACAGAGTTGATGCTCTCTGGCTTACATCTACCATGAACACAGAGTCTGTATTATAAAAATTATCTGTTTTCCAAATGTTTCTAACTCGTGACCCACAGGCCAGATTGAATCTCTAGGCCTACCACAGTGTGTTTTCAAAAATAAACTCAAATTGGCTGCCAACATTTAATTACCAGGAGATTTTACATGAAAATGAAGATTTCTGGCTTCTAAAGAAAAAAAGGGGGGGGGAGGATCCGGGAATACTGGGCCCACATGGTCACACTGCATTAATGTGCTAGAGACAAGGAGCCAAGAAGCATCCTCCCCATTTACAGAGGGCTCTGCAGTTCACCTCGGTCCCTGCCCGGCCCGCTGCACTCCCTTCTGTTACCTTCCAGGCCCCTGGAGGCACTGTGTTATAACCTTTCACCAGAGCATCCCCAGAGCCACCTAGCCTGGAGCCCACCACAATGCAGCTGGTCGCTAGGAATGTCTGGAATAGACAAATACCTAAACGAAGCAGCAGCCACAACTGCACTCCAAACAAGACTAAGAGAAAGTGCTTAGCAAAACGCCAGCATCCACGCAGAGCGCCCCAGAGGGGCAGCAGGCATTTTTGCTCAATGGCCTTGAGAAGAGCTATTTCCTCTAAACCACTATGCGCCTGCGCTGTGCTGGGAACTGTCCAGGGTGCTGACGCGGTTCAAGGGCGGCTGTCTCTCTTGAACCAGAGATGTGGCATCATGGGAGCTTGCCTAGGCTGGTTTGTGTGCCTTCTCCAGATGTGGCGGACAGAACGTGTCCCTACGTCACCCAGCAAGCAAGAACACCAGGGTCACTCCCTCCTCATCAGAGCAGACTGTTCCCACCAAACACTCTCTTGTTCTTGCCCACGGACAGAAAGCAGGGAACTCTCCCTAGATACACTGTTTCCCTTCCTTCAATTGATCCAATTCCACCCTCTCAATTTTTTCCACAGCAATTTATCACCTGACCTTTTGTGGTTTTCTTAATACTACTCTTCTTTAAATCAACTAAAATTTTTTTACTTAAATTTATTTTAAAAGGAAATGTTATACAGGTCCACAATCCCTTATCTGCAGTTCAGAAGTCCATAAAAGTCTGAAAACTGAAAGCTTTTTCCACAGTTTAAAACAAAGTTATTTGCCAGCCAAACNAAACATAAGTTTAAAATTTAAGAAAAAATTTTGCAAAAAAGCACCTAGAATTACCTTGTGCCCACCCACTGTTGGCATACATATCTCCTCAGCCCTGGCAGAAGCCTCAAAAACATAAGTTTAAAATTTAAGAAAAAATTTTGCAAAAAAGCACCTAGAATTACCTTGTGCTCACCCACTGTTGGCATACAGATCTCCTCAGCCCTGGCAGAAGCCTCATCACCACCCCCCTAGAATCCAAAGCCTGTCACATGTTTCCCAGGGTGATTTGAAATGGGGTCCAGTTCCCATTTCTCCTTGAAGAACTGAGCACCTACTTTGAATATCTCATCAGGAAGGCATTTTATTGCTGATGGCTGGAAATATGGCATCAAATCCTTGTCGAGCATTTGGAGCTCTGCCTTAGTTAATCCAGCTGGGGAGAAAAGGAATCATGAGGGTTTAGTTCAAACCATCGGAACTCTGCTTGTTTTATTAATGGTGCTACATAATGTACAGATCTGCATGTCCCAGGCAAGCATCATCTCTTACAAAAGGCCCTGAAAATCACACTGGGGAATCAAGTTCTTTAATCAACTCAGAAAAAAATGTGGGTCACATTAGCCCTGATTGGCCTCCTACAGTGAAATGTATGCACAGAGGTAGCTACTTCACACACTTTCAGATTGTGTATAAACCTATGAAGGGACCAATTAAATCACATTCTAAACTAGTGTTTTTCAAACTTTAGTGTGCACAAGAATTGCCTGTTTAAAAGGCAGATTTTCAGATCCCACCCTCTGCAACTTTGAGTCATGAAATCTAGATTCTATTATAACTCCATTGATGTTTGCTACACATGGCCAGGGATTATTTTATTATTTTATTTCATTTTATTCCCCAGATTTAAGTTGGGAAAGGAGAGAAAGACACACTCAGGGTGCATCTTACCTGCAATGGTCCCAAGCTCCTGCAAGATGGAGATGGTCCACTTGGTGGGATCCCCAAACACAACTTCTGCCTTCCTCTTAAACTCAGCCAAGACGTGGATGCTGCAGAGTAGGGTCCCAATTCTGGCCACCACCACCCTAGTTAAAGAGGGAGGGGTACAATGTGAGCTCAAGGAATTCTCCAGCCATAAAATGATGTGCAGAAGGTAGGTAAGGCCAACTCCAAGAGAGGATCCAGCTAACTCCACTCCCTATTTTAGCCCAGAAAGGGGCAAAGCATCAGGAAGTGGAGAACATCTGGATGGATGAATGGAAGGAAGGATGGATGGATGGATACATAAATGAATGAACAAACGCATGAATGAATGAATGAATGATTTGACATTTTGCACACTATTATTTTGGTTACCTGAATTCTGAGATCTTTATAAGCGGGATTTCAGTGATGTTCATAGCACACAGGGTTGGACCAAGTCCTACTAAATGAAAACTCTTCAGATCCTGGATATTATACTCTGAATCATCCAGGAACCCTTGAAGAATGGATTTAGCCTATAAAAAATGAAAAAGGATAGAAAATGAACTATCCAAGACCCGAAGGTTTGAGGAGATAACTGAGCTATCGTCATCGACTTCTGACTAATCCCAAATCCCATCCCTCTGGAATCCCAACTCCAAACCATCCTGGCTACTACATCCAGGTTAATTTCCTTAAGGTACTGCTTCAGCTGAGTATGTCCACTTATCTATGGAGGTGTCTTTAGACAATGAATCTCTTGTATCCTTCACCAGCATTAAAGACACTGTGTCCTGTGTCAGTGTCTGCTGGTTTATTTTCTTCAGTGACTCTTATGACCTTCAGACAGTTTGGACATTCAAGTTCTTCTGCATCAGGATTTGAACTTTTCCCCACATCTGTTTCTACAACTTCCCAACAAAACCTTATAATTTCCTGCTGCCCTTCCTGTGCTCAAACCAGTCCCTTCATCTGAAATGCATTTGCAACCGTTAGAATCCAGTCTTCTTTTATTTTTTGGTTCAATTCAAATGCCACTCTGTTCATGAAGTTTTTCCTGACCATCTCGGCCAGAATGAATGTTTCTTCCTATATGGCCCTCACTCTTCAATTCCAGGGAGTAGTATATTAAATTCTTTGGTGTTAAAAATTCACACAAAAATATCTCCAGAGAGCTTTGACTTAACTGAGCTGATATATAGGATCCTTCTAATCCTATAATCCATTCATTGTTCATGACTTCCCTGGAGAACCACCCCTCCCACACTCTTACTTCACGTGATTCAGTCAGAGCTAACTGCATCCCAAGTTCCAGGGGCAATGACATGGCCCTGTCATGGCCAATCAGGTCATCTCTTAGCTGGTTGTAGTAATTGGTTCTGGACTGGACATGTGGTCCAGCCAGAGCCAACCAGGACTTTGGGGCGATTAGGAAAGAAGAGCTTTCTTTACTCTTGAACTTGAAAGGATATACACATGGATCTGCTAGAACCCACCATGTGGAGGTAACCTGCCTCTGAATGAAGCCAACAGAAAGGAAAGCGAAGTCCAAAAACAAGGTGAGAGATAAGTTTCCAATGATAGTATTGCAGCTCCTGGATCCAGCCATACCTGAACTCTACCCTTGAACTTTTCAGCTATTGGAGTCAATAAATTCCTTTTCTTGCTCAAGCTAGTTTTTGCTGGATTTTCTGCCACTTGTACCTAAACAAATCCTGATTCATTTAATTGGCCTGCATTGGACCTCTAAGCCAATCCCTTGGAGACGAGCTATATAATAACACCTGGATCCTCCAGTGCTCATGGGGGCAGGTGAAAAAGATGACAAGAGCTCACAAGGAAAAGATGAGGAGGACACATCCAAGGACAAACATATCTGGGATGGGAGTGAAAGTCAGAGGGATACAGTCAATCTTTTCATCTCCCTTTAATATGATTCATCCCCATCACATGGTACGGATCATTACAGTGTTGGGAGAGAGTGTTGGGAAAGATTGTGGAATGTTGCAATGGGATTCCACTTCTCATGCAGCTGTTGCCTTCCTGTCTTTTAGGTCTGTGTAAATGCTGCCTCCTCAGAGAAAACTGTCCCCTGATCTTGCCCATCTCAAACAGCTCCCCTCCCCACTATCCCCATGAGCACCTTGTCCACTCTCTGCATCACTCATCACAGTTTTTTCTTTTATCCCCTCCCCACTATCCCCATGAGCACCTTGTCCACTCTCTGCATCACTCATCACAGTTTTTTCTTTTATTTTTCACTTTGATCACTCACTTTTATGTCTGTATCACCAAATAGGCTCCCCAAACAGAAGGACCATATCCCAGCACCTAGCATAATGACTGCCACACAGTAGGAGTTCAACAAGTACTCTTTGAGTTAATAAATGAATGAATGAACATTCAAGTGGGTGACTTGCAGAAGTTATGGGTAATATATACTCCTTTGAAATGGCATCATTTTGAAGGCAGCTGCCTTCACGTGATGGGCTGGCTTCAGGGAGATTCCCATGTTTCTGCAAATTAGACTGGTCAGTGTCTTCATTAAATTGCCCTCAATGATTACAAAGTTCATAGCTACTACAGGGGAGTTTCTGTAACACCATGCTTAGACTTAAATGTATTTGGCTGAATGGAATATGCTTCCAAAGTAATAATAACTAGCATTTATTGAATGCTTATAGTACACTGGCACTATTTCAGCCACTTTACACTGTCTCATCTAATCCTCATGACAACCCTATGAGGTAAGTATTAATATTATCCCTATTTCACAGATGAACAAAGTGAGGCAAAGAGAGGTAAAGTAACCAGGCCAATTTTCCACACAGCTGGAAAATTATTATTCCAGGATCAAAACCCAGGCAATCTGACTACAGAGTCTGCACTCTCAGCCAGTGAAGATGTTTGGCTATGGAGAAAATGGAGATTCAAGTTACCTTTTGAATTTTTCTTATTAAGTCTTCGTAATCAGGTTTCACTAGCTGACTCATAGCAATTTATGTTCCCCAACAATCAGGCATGTCCATTTTTAAATGAAAGTGCAAAAATACAATTCAAATAAAATTGCTTTGAAGATGTGATATTAAATTGTCCTTGCCACTGGAACCCAGAATGCAAGCTCAGCCTGCAAGGTGATATGTCAGAATATATTTCCTTGAATGACTGGACCAGCGTATATGTAATGATTCCAAGACAATTAATACCAACACTTTAAGGCAATATTAACCACTGAAAAATGAATAGCTGTAAGATTTCAATCTCTCTGTTCATCCCTCTGGCTTCTATAATAGTTTTTTTTTCCTTATATTGGTTTTTAAGCTGAACTATCTGTTAATGTAGTTGTGCCAGGTCTGACTATTAATCTAGAAACATGCATTTAGGGGGTTGATTGGGAGCTAAAGTTGAAGAACTGACTGCAAATGATATATGCAAATGTTAGGTTTTCATATCCTCTTCAAACATATTGATAAATCTCACTGCCACCCATGGAAATTAAAATTGGTGCAAAGGGAAGGAGATATCCTAGTTTCTATGTTGAATATATTTTTCTTTTTCTCCCAGACTGCAAATGGAATTATTTTAATATCAGAAGTGTGACATCATACTTCTCAAACTAGTCAGAACCAGTTTTAGTGCCACAGAACCACAGGATTATAGAATATCAGAGTGAAAGGAGCCTTGGATTATTGAATCTAACCCTCTCATCTTGCAAATGAGGAGACTAGCCAGAGAAAGGGAGTATGCTGCTGCTGCTGCTGCTGATGATGTTGATAATGATGATGATGATGATGGTGACAATGATAATGATGACAACAACTTAGACAACTTATTTTTATTGGCTACTCTGTACCAGACATTGTTCAAAATGCTCTGCATATATTAACTCATTTAATCCTTGTGGCTGGGACCTCCATGTTGCTCAACTCCGGANTCTGCATATATTAACTCATTTAATCCTTGTGGCTGGGACCTCCATGTTGCTCAACTCCGGAGGAGGCAGGCACCATTCCCAGTGTATTCTATTTGAATGGCACCACTCAGAGTTATGGGACGTGGTCATCCTGATTACAAAAAGCTCATGAGAGTTGGGGACATGCATTGGTTTTACTGGGCTGGCATTCATTCTTCCTTTGTTTGATAACACCACATTTTTCTTCCTTGGAGAACTACTCTGTATTTGTTTCCTATTGCCACTGTAACAAATGACCACCAACTTAGAGGCTTAAAACAACACAAATTTATTCTCTTACAGTTTTGGAGGACATGACTCCTGAAATGGATCTGTTCCTTCTGGGGGTTCTATGGAGAATTCATTCCCTTGCTTTTTCTAGCTTCGAGAGGCCATGGGTCATTTCTTGCCTTGTGGCCCCATCTTCTGTCTTCAAAACCAGCAGCACGGAAATTTCAAATCTCTCTGTGTGTCCCTCTGTTTCATTGACACCTCACCTTCTATATCTGTGGCTCTCCTGCCTCCGTCTTATAAGGACCCTTGTGGTCACATTGGGCCCACCCAAATAGTCCAGAGTAACCTCCCCATCTCAAGATCCTGAAGTTAATCACATCTGCAAAGTCCCTTTCACCACAT